AAACTAAGTTTTTATATAAAGATATGAAGAATATTAAAGACTAACCTTACGAATAAAATCATAGCCAAAATAAAACAAGCCCAATCCAGTGAATTTTAACGGATGTAATGATGCTTGCAAAACGAAGTAACAAATCTGCATTATATGATAACGCAATTATAATTTAAATATCTATAATTATAATTTGAATAAAGATTGTTTATAAGATGATAGTTATATAGAAAAGGTTTATCTCACCTCTTCGTGTATTTCGGTAAAACAAGTAAGATTTGTCAATTTATGAATAATATCTTTAGTATTTTGTGCCTGAAATAATATAGGAATATTTATATTATTAATTATTATATTTTACTTTTAATAATTTTATCATCTTCAACAACGACATTAATATTTTTTTATAAAGATGGAATTTCCAAATTTTTAGTTTTATAATAAAAGAATAATATTTTTTGTATTAATGTCTCTTTTGAGATAATCATTATATTACATATATATATATTCTCTAGAAAAGCTGAGAATTTTTTTTTGCTTATAAAAGAAACATTTCTTCAATTTATCAAAAATTCTTACCTTAGCACTAATGTTTTCGCAGATATAATTTATGAATATTAATCTCATTACAAATATTATAAACCACGTACTGCTCGTGAGTAATAAGTTTATTAATATATTATGATACGATGTTGTAAAGGAGATTATTATATAATATAGAAAATTACACATTCCTATTAATACGATGAAATAGGATATCATTTGTAGAGTCATTTGAATTTCGGAGAGATTATTTACATTGCGAGCTATTCGACAAAGTTCTGAATGAAGATGCCTAGATTTATATAAATAAACTAAGATATATTAATATTTTTAAGAAAAAATATTCTTATTGATTTGTTATGTATATTCTTTCTAAAAAACGTATGCATACAGTTATGTTTTAAACGCATTAGCATGACGAGCAAAATTTATTTTATTTTAAAAGATTTATTATGTTATTCAACAGCTGAAATAATATTTATTATCATACATTATATCAAGTAGAAAATTTCCAAATTTATTTTACGTTTGATAGATAAACCAAATTAATAATAAATACTAAAATTAATAATGAATACTAAAACGTTTTAATTATAACAAGAATTTAAAACATGATAAGTATAATAAGTAAAATATAGTCGTGACAAAATTATTTTTTATAAATTATTTTCCACAATTTATCGATATTATATGTATCAACATATATCAATTTACATTATGGTCCACAATACATGCTTGCGACTCTCAATGTTCCGAACATAATAGCTAGCAACGACGAAAGATTTTTTCCACTTGCACTTTATTCTATAGTCTTTTGTTTCCGATAGTTGTTTAATGTAATCGTTTATTTTATCCATTCTGGTACCAATGTGCCTGTAAAATTTGAAGAAATTATTTAGAGAAAACGGTATCAACGTTTTTTTTACGCATATAATAGAATAACGATTATAAATTAAATAATTTATTTTTTTCTGTTGCTAAAAGTTTACAATTTTATAGATTACAAAAGTGTACTAAAACTTTTCAATTTGCACATACATATTTGATTAAATAAAAAATTATTGCGTATTGACAAATAAATTTTGCTTATGTGAAGCAAAGCATTAATGTAAAATAATCAAATTCATTCCGTATTATATATTTTGTTATTACATACATGTTATTTTGAAAAGTTGATCTATCAAATTAAATTTTCCATATTTTAATAATGCTTATTATAAAATTATTGCAAAAAGCTAAAGTTTGCAAACCTTAAAAGAATCATGAACATTATATCCATGAGAGTATTGATATATACACAATAACTTAAAACAAAAGGAATAAATATCCCTTTTATATTATTATACATTTTTACTGAGAGCATGGAATCAAAAATGGATGATATGCATATTAAAAAAGTTAATATGATCATGGCCCTTTTTGATTTATATCGTAATATATAATATTCTTTGGGTATTCCAAGTTCTTCCAATGTATCATCCACAAGATCAAATTTTCTTACTAATTCTGCGAATTTCTAAAGATAACAAAGGAATATAAAAAAATATAATAATTTCTTAGATAAATATATACAATATTTAATCACATTTTTAAATAAATAATAATAATGAAGATAGTTAGTTTAAATTGGTATTGTGTATTATTTGCTGAGTTTTGACATGAAAACTGTTATATGAAAAGAAATTATACCTTATGTTTGCAAATAGTAATAATTATGGATATTATTGTCACAAACAAATTTACTGTTACTATAAAAATAATTAGAAGATTATCGAATAATCTTTTCAACGAAAATTGGATCGTTATATAGTAAAATACACAGGCATAAATAGTCCACACAATAAATAAATAGAGGATATTTAAGCGAATTCTCGGCTGGTTTAATGGTGATCTAAGAATACTGCCACCGAAAATAAAAGTAGCTAAAGTAATGGGTTTTAAAGCTTCCTCTATGGTATCAACCATGTTCAAAGCTCTCTCAATCCTATGTACTGACTGTTAGAGTTGTTCAGTTTAAAAGTTTGTACGCATGATATGCTTATTATGACATTGAAAGAAAACTCTTGATTATATCGTTGCATTAACATGATTAGATCAACAAAACATTATCATAATTGAGACAATCGATTTTCATATAAAATACTTATATCATACTTGTTTTAGAATTTCATTTTATTATAAACTGATATTTCATGTTTATTGGATTTTATTAGACAATTTATATTATTAAAAAATAATGGAATAATATAAATGTAGGTGAATAGATTAATACTATTTTCTCTATAAACTATTCTATATACAATAATGTAAGTAATATGTATCGCTTGTCATCTTCGATATATACCAATGATATACAATAACTTGGACTTCATAATTTTTAAGTGAAGTTAATTTTGTATTAAAATTTTTATTAAAATATATTGCATAACATACAAAAATTGAGCAGCAGCGACATATTTTTAGCCAATACGGAATTAATTTTTATTTATTAATTAAATTTTCATGTTTATGTAATTATTAATATGTTAATTAACTATTAATTAACACAACAAATTTATCTCGATTTTATATACTAGATAAGAGCAATTATATAAGAGCAATTAATTAAAACATAATTTTCCTATATTAGAATTTTATTATCATATGAATCACATGAATATATATCATATGAATATAAAGCATAGAAAATGTAAATTATTTTAATTTAAAAATTATACAATATACTTAAATATAAAAAATATTAACCGTTTCTCCTAATTTTAATATAATTATTTAAATTGTAAATTAATTGTAAATTTTATTTACAATGCAAATTCTCTCTCTCTCTCCCCCTTTCTCATTTTCAATTATTGATAAACTAATAACTTGTAAAAATCTGCGAATGAGCGCGCGAAATGAAAAAGTAATCTACTTGTCCGCATTCACAATTATTAAAAATGTGATAAGATGTGAATGTTTGAAAGTATGCACTGAAAGTATGCACAGGCATGGTCCATCATTTGTTGTTTTCACACTTCCAAACACTTTCGTAATGTATAAGTATAAAGAGATTATATAAATAAATTTATCATTTTACACTAATTAATATAACCATCATTTTATAAATTAATATCTCATAACTATTACGTAAAATATACTATTAGGTAAAAGATTTTTCTATGTAGGAAAGATGTGTTACTAATTTTGGATTTCCTGTATACAGGGTGTCTGGTAATAATCTCTCGTGAGCAAGTAAAATGTCGTATTGAATAGAAAAGCCTTATACTATTTTACGATTTTCGCGATAATTAAAGAATTATTAATTTATACATATCCATGAATAAGTGACCTATCGTACAAAAGGACAGTCCAAATCATTATGCACGATTGTTAGGAGGCAATATATTGGAGGTGTACTATAAACAAATATTCTGTTAATTTGTAGATCACATTCAACATCTTGCTATACACTTAACGATTGCATTGCAAACGTTGCTGGGCTGTTTTTTCGCTGGACGCGAATGCTCGCTCATTCATAAATCTGTACAAATTAATAACTCTAATTATTGCGAAATTCGCAAAATAATAAAGAATTTTTCAATTTAGCACAATACGCTTTACCTACCTACGAGAAATGATATGGTTATTATCGGACACTCTGTATATGACGATATAATATTATAATATGATTAATGCTTGGATATGTATATTAATACGCTAAAAACATTTAATCTGTAAACGCAAATCAATTGTTAATAAAGTTTTTGATTATGCGCATAAAATATTTTATCTATTTGTTATTTGTTTTTATTATGTTCTACATATTATCACATAATATGTTATATTAATTTAAAGAAATATGAATTATATGTATACTTATACACACATATACAAAAAAGGAGGCAAATTCATTTACTTCATTGTATCTTTTGGTTTAAAACAAAAGTATAGGCTTTAAAACAGAAGTATTGCTGGCGCCTTATCTTTCATATATTTAATTATTCACACATTTCAATGTAATTTTTATAAATAAATTAAAATTAAATTAAATTAAATTAAATATGCATATACATTTATAACATTATAATTTGTATTTGTATCTTCTACTGTAATTAATTAATTATCAGAAAAATCGAACGACATAAATAAAATTTTTAACAAATGCAATGTGTATTCGACTAATTTGTGAACGAGAAACGAAACATAATAAATTTCTAAAATTTTATATTATTTAATTAATTGTACACTGATTTTAAATTATTACAATTATAAGATAGAATAATTTTGATCAAATTATATATTAAACTCAACAAGAAACTTATTGTTTCTTTAAGAGCTATTATTAAATACTTACAAATTATTAAACTGGTTTCATTTGCATCAAAATAATTACGAATGTTACCATGGTCATGCAAAACTGAAATAAAATATATTCATATATTCATAATTTCTTCACACAATAAAAATTTTATTAGATAAAAATTTTATTATTGCATATCCATACTATGAATGTTCAAAAAACATCCAATAGGTATTCGAACATTTGTAGATCTCTGAAATGTTTTTTGAACATTTGTGGGTATACAAACAAAGTTATTATATAATAAAATTTTTAAAAGATAAATATTAGTAACAATTTTAATAACCAACTTTTAAAGCACATGTATAAAATGTAATATAAAAAATGAAATAATAAAAAAGATAAATGCATTGAACCTTCCGAAAAAATGAATTGCCAAAATAGAATAGACCCATTCCAGTAAATTTTAATTGATGATACATTAATTGCAAAGAAAACTGACAAATCTGTAAATAAATTATATATTATTTCTAATTTATACCTGAAAATTTAAATTATTATATATTAAATTATATATATATATATATATAACACACACACACACACACACACACACACACACACACACACACACACACACACACACACACACACACACACATTTGAGTTATTTAAATTAGATATCATTAGATTTAACTTTTACTTCATTTATTCTTAGTGATAATTATCTATTATTTATTCTTACTTCTTTCCAAATATCTGCATATCGAAGAGTACTTGTAAATCGATGAATTATTCTGTCAATTTTATTAGCCTGAAATGTAAAATTAATTATTATAGATTATATGTTCATAAATAATGTAATTTTACCTTTAAAGAAACACTTTCACATATGTAATTTATAACATATAGCCTCAATAGAAATGAAAAAACCCACAAACTCATATTAAACCATTGATACATTGAATATATATCACTTCTATGTTCTTTTATTATCATTTGGCATATATGATAACATAATGATGTTAAATATAAAAGATAGGACGCCATTTCGAAAGTCAGTTGTGGTCCATATATAACATTCAATTCACGGGAAAGACGACATAGTTCTAAATGTAGATGCCTGTCAAAATATATATTCTAATATGTAAAACAAGGAAATTTTATGATAATTTATATAAACATAAGAATTTAAATAATTTATTATTTTCATTATTTTTTGGAATAAAATTTTTTCTCATTTAATTATTAAGTTAGCATTAGATTATATATATGTATAATATCATGTTGATGATCTATTAAATATCTGCATATCGATTTACATTAAGATCCATAATATTTGTTTATAATTCTTATTAGTACACAAAGTGTTTCGATGAAAAATAACAATAGATTTCTTCCATGTGTATTTTAACCCAGTCTCTTCTTTTACTAATAAATATTGCATAAGCTCATTCACTCTATCAAATCTGGTACCAACACACCTATTTTTAAACAAGATCAAAAATTCTATATTATATATACAGTGGAAATGTCCAAAATCACTTTGTACGTAGAATATATCTATGGAATATATCCATGTTTCTACTGTATGACTATATGGCAGAGAATCTAATTCTTATATTTAATCAGTGATTTTTTAAGAATATATAATTTAATTTATTAATGATTTTAAAAAATTATATTAAGAATTACAGGATTATATTTCAAATTAAACAAATACACTTTTTAAAACTTTTTGTTTTAAAATTATTAATATTTGCCATTTTAATAATGATTATATTTGATTAAGTTGAGAAAAAAATTACAAAAAATATATTCTATTTTTATAGATAATGAAATATAAATGTATAAATCAGAATTTATAAATTTATTATACATAAATATTGCTGTTATACAAACCATAAGAAAAAGATAAATAACAAATCCATAAACATATTTATATGAATGGAATAATTCATTATATGAGATATATATACACGCCAAAAAACATTTTTTACAGTTTTTTGCCACCATATATACGATTCCAAAAAATTCATAGTAAGACTGAGCATGATCCATCCTATTATTATTTTTATCGACCATGTATACATTTTTTTATATTTTTTTGGAGCGCCCAGTTTTTCCAAAGTATTATCTACAATTGCAAATCTTCTTAAGCACATTTGAAATTTCTGAAACAATATTAAGTGATAATTTAAATTTATGAAATAATTATCATTTAAGATGTAATTGTATTCTTATAATATAAAATTTCCCTAATTATACACTTCTAAATTTAAAATATTGTTTTAACTGTAAATAATCTTTTTTTATTTAAAATTGTCAATTGATTGAATATTGAAAATTGATGTAAAATGCTATAATTATTTTAAATTTATGATTTGATTATAATAAATAAATAAATAAATATATATATATACAATTTTATAATATATATTTTATATTATATAAAAATATAATATAGCTTACGCATAAGGCATAAAAACCAATTCTACCTTTTGATGATAGCGATTCATTATTACAGAAATGATCATAGTAGATAGATTAATCCCCAAAGTGATCATAATAATTATTGACCGAAATAATATTTTGATTGTAAAAAGAGATACTAGAGAGTAGAACGAATAGGCATAAAGAAACCAGATTATTAAAGGATATAGAATACTTATGTTAACAATCCATCGAATCCTTGGCTGATTTTTGGGATAAAAAGCTAAACCAGTAATGAGACACACAAGAAAAAAAGGATTACACGCTTGTTGAACAGTAGTCACCATGATTATCACTGTTGGAAATTTATACGAAGTATCAATTTAAATTCATTTATTGCGCATATTGCGATTGCGTTTTAACAATAACGCATCTTCAAACAGATCCTTGACGCAATCACAATATATTTATTCTTTTTAGCACTTACGTATATTAAAATGATCGATCGTGAAAAGTGAAAAAGATAATTCACTATTGAATTTTGTATAATATCAGTAATTCCAATGCAGAGTTGGATGAATTAATATAATTTTTAACGAAGTTAAGTTAACATTAATGACTTATAATATTAATTTAGTTATTAAAAGTTACATGAACAACAAAAACTAGTTGCGTCAAGATTAAATTAATTTAAAAGTTAATTTTAAGAAGCATTATTTATTATTTAAATTAGAATGTCGCAATTTTGTAAAATTAAAATATTCTAAATAATAAAACAGTTATTGTACAATATGGATTATCAAATAAATTTAATATTTTATTTATAAATTAAATTTATATGAATTATTTACATAAATTTATATATAATAATATTATAATTAAGTTTATGAAAGAAAATAAGAAAGATATATTATTTTTTTTTATGTAAAAATGTGTTTTTGTTTTTCAATTTTTTCCTTAATATAAATTTTTAATTTAGAAAAAAGTTAATAAGTTAAATTTATATGTTTTAAAACTGAATAATTGAAGTTATAAATTACCTAAGTTAAATATTAATATTAAATATTATTTAATTAATATTTATTTAATATTAATTTTTTAGTTCTATTAATGTTATTCTATGTAATGATACTTTTAATTTGTTTCATATGTATTTGTATTTATATGTGTATATTTATATTTATATATGTATGTATATATAAATTATTCAATATCTATAATAATGCAAAATTCCTACAAATATTCATTTTTTGCATTTTGATTCAGAGAATGCGTACAATCAAAAATTTTTGTCATCGATTAGAAAGAATGTTAATAAGTAGTTTTTTCCTGGAAATGTTAAAAAATACATTAGTTTGTTTATACTTTGATTTTTTTGTTATCCAAATTTATTTATTTCTTAGAATATAAACTTAAAAAATATCTTTTCCTTTTTATTTTTTGATAACATGTGTTATTATTATAATTAATCAATTCTAAATTATAAGAAAATAGTGTAGCATACGCCATCTGTAGTATGCGCATAACTGCTTTTTATCTCATATGATAAGTCATTAAATGATATCATTATCGAAAACGTTATGTGAAAAATTATAAAAAAGAATATTAGAAGCTGTTTCCATAGATGGAACTTTTATTTCAAAGATATCGCGTAACATAATATTTCTTTGTCTCATTTTGCATTATTCTAATTTTGCAATTATTAACGTGAATAATTAGAACGTAAATTTCACACATATTAGAGAAAATTCTTAAGAATAAATCATATTATCTTTTCAAATTTTATTTCAATTGCAAATTGTCGTTTTTATTCATTTAAAAATTTCCAAGTTTCGTTTAATTTCACATGAAGCTGCGTACGATCCCGTCTGAAATTAGCACTGGATTACGCACTTCCCATTTTCGTAAAGATTCGGGATTTACAATTTACTATTTATCAAGTTTGGAATATTATAAAAAAAAATGCAAATTTATCATCAGAATTTAACTATTATAAACTATTATTTACTATTCACATATAATTCGCCGGCGGAGCCGTCATTTTCTGTACTTCGATAAAGTCAAAAGGCGCGAACCGCGCACACTCTGGCGCCAGCTTGAAGTTAGCCACACTTGACAAGTCTGATTCCAATCTGTTAAATCGTTCGTCCGACCGATATCTTGCGTACACGATCATTACACGCGCGTGCACGTGTACATATTGTACACGTGCACAGAGGTACGCATCACGGTGAAGTAACGGACTCAAAATTCACGTGTCTTTCGCGTCCACCGGCTTTGCTGCTGTCGCGGAGAGTCCATTCATTGCGACACGACGCGACGACGTGACTCGGGACAGGAGGAGATAGTCCAGGTCTTAATGGCGCGTCGCGCGACAAGCATCCTTCCGGCGAGCGTCCTTCCGGTTCAGTGTAAAAACAGCGACGACGACGAGGGCGGCAGCAGGAGCCAGCGGCCGATCGCTGCGCACGGCAGCAGCTGAAGGAGAGAACACGCGAGCGCCCACCATATTGCGTAAGGAAGGCGGACGACCGGCCCGGCGAAGATGTTCGCCTGCGGTAGAATCATTGGCCGATTTCCCGCCACGCTCACACACGCGAATCGCCTCTACCGACCTGTAAAATACGTGGGTGCGTATCGACTGTCTGTTGACAGAAGAATTCCTCTCTCCTTCCGTCCCGAGTCGTGTCCTGATACATCTTGGCATTGGCTTGAAAGAACAATCTCGTTTTCCGCTTATTTTGCAATTTCCACAACGAGAGAACGGTTACATTTGTCTCTTTTTCTCCCTTAATGATTCATTTACGAGTTAGTTGCGTAAGTTTGCGAGCAATTGTACAGTTGAGTCTACGGAACTATGTTTACAATCTTCCATGCGGCATGCCGCTCTGAAGTAGGCGGCGAGTGACATAACCTAGAAACACGCGTACCTTTTTAGCATTTATAAATGCATTAATAATTTGCATAAGTTAGAGAAGCTTTAGATCTGTCCGGAAAATTTCGAAAAATGTTTTCAGAAATCTCTATACATATATTTTTATGTTTTGTGGATTTTTTAAAGTAATAATTGACAATATTTTGTATTACAGTTTACTGCATTATATTGAAATGTATTTTTATTAATAAATTGATATTCCTTTTATTAATTGATTACTAAAAATATTTGCAGGAATTGTAAATATTAGTAACTTACGACACAATAGTGATGCAAGCAATGAGAAGTCTCATAAGTCAGCAGGCATCACTATTAAGCCAGAGGAATGTGTGCCTAAATCTAGATCTTTCAAGTCACAAAAGACAGTTCCTGCTTGTGAAACAGAAGCATCTTGTCCAGCAGCACAAATCTGCAAGCCAAATAACGAACAGAAGCAATCAAATGAGAAAGGCTCAGATCATGGTAAAAATGGAAAATATCAATCCCGCTATTGGTATTTACTTGCTGCTTTGATTGTGACAGGAGTTACATACAAGGTAATATATCGTGAAAAAATTTATACTCGATTAATATCCATTTCTGTATAGATTAATTTTAGTCTCGTAGTTTAATTTCATGTTTATTATTTTTTTTTTAATTTTAAGAATAAGAAAAAGATAAAGAATAAATTAAACTATGATTAAAATTAATAAACATTAGTAGAAATGGACATATTTAGTTTTTAAAAATGTATTTTAGGTATCTTCATCATTTTTGAAAGATGACAAAACAGATCAACAGAGAGATAGAAGTAAACGTAAGTTAAATAAAAATTATTTTAATATATAATAGAGATATTGAAAAAATAACCTATTTATTTTATACATACTTTTAGAGAAGAAAGAAGGGAGAGGGCATAGGAGGTTCAAAGACACAGTAAAAATTCCAGCAGAATCTAGATTAATACCTCAAGAAGTACCTTATCTATTGATAGGTGGAGGTACAGCTGCATTTTCAGCATTTAGATCAATTAAATCTAGAGATCCCAAAGCTAAGGTAAGATATACATCACAGGTAAATTTCCTTTTCTTTTCCATTTGTTATTTAAATAATTTTCTTCCAGGTTTTAGTTATAACACAAGAAGTAGATTTTCCATATATGAGACCGCCATTATCCAAAGAACTTTGGTATAATGCAGATAGAGATACAACTGCACAATTACGTTTTAATCAATGGAATGGAACTCAGAGGAGGTAAATTTTGCGTTTAAATGTTCAATTTTAATAATGTCGTTAATTAATTAAAGATAATGGTTATCTTTTTCACACAAAATGTTCATATTTTTTCTTGTAGTATATTTTACGAGCCACAAGAATTCTATTCAAATGTTAGTAATCTTACGGAATCTGATAAAGGTGGAGTTGCTGTAGCTATGGGCTGGAAAGTAACAAAAATCGATGTTATAAATAAAACTGTGATTCTCGAAGATGGTCATGAAATAAAATATAACAAATGTCTTATTGCAACTGGTAAGTTTTATTCAAAGTTTTTTCAAAACTTTTAATTGAATTTTTGTATATATTTTATTATATATATTAATTTATATTATATATTATATATATTATATATATAATTGTTATATATATAATATATATTATATATATTTATATTATATATATTAATTTTTATATTATATTTTTATATTATATTATATTTGTAGGTGCATCACCTAAAAATCTGCCAATATTCGAATCCGCTGAGAATGAAGTAAAAGATAAAATAACAACGTTTAGAACGAAGGATGATTTTCTCGACTTAGAAGAAAGTGTTTCCAATCCTAAATGCAAAAATATTGTAGTCATTGGCGGTGGATTTCTCGGCTCGGAACTTGCCTGCGCACTTGCCAGAAGTTGTAAGTTTTTTATTTATTAATATATTTGAGAGAATATTTTATTTTAATAATAAAATATATATTTATTATAGATAAATCGAAGAATGTTTTCCAAATTTATAAAGAAAAATTTATAATGGCACAAGTATTACCAGAATATTTGAGTGAATGGACCACGAAAAAAGTTGAAGCAGAAGGTGTTCATACTATATCTAACACAGAAGTTGAAAATTATAAGTATGAAAATGATCGATTGTCTCTCGTCCTCACTGGTGATCAAACTGTATGTTAATATATTCAAAAACTTATGTATTTTTACTTTAATTATGTGTATTGAAATTTTTTATTTTATTTTTTTTTTTTTTTTTGTTATAAAAAGATCGATGCTGACCAAGTGATAGTAGCGATAGGTGTTGAACCAAATACAGATTTGGCAGTAACTTCCTATTTAGAGACAGAGCCTAAAATAGGAGGATTCCTTGTTAATGCTGAATTAGAAGCAAGAAGAAATGTTTGGGTTGCTGGTGATGCCGCATGTTTCTACGATGTCAAGCTTGGTAGGAGAAGAATTGAACATCATGATCACGCGGTTACCTCCGGAAGATTAGCCGGGGAAAATATGACTGGCGCTGGTAAATCAGAAAATTTATAAATATCGCAGTTTGCGTGGACGAGAGTACAATTGTAAATTTCTTTATAGGTAAACCTTATCTGCACCAATCAATGTTTTGGTCAGACTTGGGACTTGATGTAGGATATGAAGCGATAGGTATTGTAGACTCATCTTTGCCAACAGTTGGAGTTTTTGCAAATCCGACGGAAGCAAATGTGGTGCCGGTTAATAATCCTAATGATGTAAGAACAAATCTTATAGAAAAATGTAATATATTTAATTGCGAACTATTTCTCTTAGAATTTTTCTGTTTTTTCCTTAGGAACAAAAAACAAATTCTGAAAAATCGAACGAAAAATCAGAGTCACAAATCATAAAAAATGTTAACATAGAAGAAGAAAAGAAAAAAGTATCTGAAAATAATGCTAAATTAGAGCAACCTACGAAACATGAAGATTTTGGAAAGGGCGTTGTTTTCTATTTACGAGATGATGTTGTTGTAGGAATAGTATTGTGGAATATATTTAATCGAATGTCGATTGCCAGACGGGTAAATTTATCGTCATTAATTTATTTCTATATGTATATCCATGTAATTTATTTCAAATATTCTTTATTCATGATCAACATTATATAATTTTTAGGTCCTTGCTGAAGATAGGAAGTATGATGATTTAAATGAAGTAGCGAAACTATTTACAATTCATGAAGATTAATTATTTGATTAACAAATAAGAGAGAGTGAATGACAATATTAAAAGATTATTATATCGTACATGTAAAGAGATGTTTGACTTCTATTTGAGATATGGAAATCCTGCAAGCAAGAACTCGCATATCATTGAATTACGCAGGTATTATACGAATTATATGAATATCAGTCGATATTATATAAACGTGGAAATTTCTAAATACAACCTGTATACAACATATGCTCTCATATATGTGCAAAGTGTACATACGTTTATTACAGCTAATGCTAATTGAAAGCATCTATATAGAAAATTAAAAAATAATAGGGAAACTTTTAATTATAATACAATAATGAATTGTTATTCATTGTATACATACATCGCTTTTTACTGATGTATAATTATCTTGAAATAAGGAATCTTGTATAAGGTATTTTCTTTTACATGGATGCAATTTGTTTTTAACATATATATCTAATGATCTTTTCGATATTTATATCTTTTCTTATTTTTTTAAGTTACTGAAATAGTAAGATGTTTATGCATTTATATTTCGTCTTCTGAATTTAAATTTTTAGTCATTGCCGGTAAAACCCGATTTCTATATCGTTGACCTAAATTATCCATGTACGTAATGTAACTATGACAGCGATACTTGTCCAATATCTGTATAAAAATGCACTTGGTAAATTATTTAATGATATTAAATAATGTAAATAACTTTACTTATATATTTATGTGCATACCATGTTTTCTGGCCACATTTTTTTATTTATTAAATCTTGTAGCAACTCTTCTTGGCAGAATTGTAGAAGTGATACGGAATAATACACCATGTAGTCGAACGGATACAAAATGCAAATTGCAAAAAAAATGAATAATTTCACTCCACGGTAGAATTCCCCAGAAGCATTGTGATAGCATTCTATTGAATATCATCCACCAATCGATACCGCAAACGTCCTTCTCATACAAAAAAATGTTATATATATATATATATATATATATTAGAATGTTACACATATATTTTTAAATTAGATTATTTAAATGCTAAAAATCAATTACTTTTAATCCAAATTTGATGTTTGGAAGCTCGATATTAACCATAGTTTCTAAAACTTGCATAAAAGTAAACTGTGAACTAGTGCCTTCGTTGTTTTTTTCATCAATAACTTTTACCCAATTTTTGGCCAAAGAAGTAATGTTGATGGAAATTGAATTAATTGCATAATAAAAGTTTTGCATCTGTAATAGATTTTTGGTAATTATCATGTTATCTAATAATTGGTCTATGATGAAAAGAAAATATTGAGACGGGTTAATGATGACAAAAGAAACATTGACCCGGTGAGAACTAAGTTTTCAATCTGAGACCTGCCAATGATGATATTTGATTAGCTTGAGTTAATCCCTCGATAGTCATTTAAAATACTTGTTTAATTGATTTTATTTCCGTGAAGTGATTTTGATTAAATAAGAAATCTGTCACTATGTGTGACCATACCGGAAAAAGGCTATCGAAGGATTAATTCGCGGTCAGCTGAGGCTTAAATTTATTTTTGTGTTTTCAATCTGAGACCTGCCAATGATGATATTTGATTAGTTTGAGTTAATCCCTCGATAGTCATTTAAAATACTTGTTTAATTGATTTTATTTCCGTGAAGCGATTTTGATTAAACAAGAAACCTGCCATTACGTATGCCCATACCGGTAAAAGACTATCGAAGGATTAATTCGCGGTAAGCTGAAGCTTAAATTTATTTTTATGTTAATGATTCACTATCTCTAATAGTACATATATTATTACTATTATTATTAATAATATAATTAATATATCAAGTTACATACTTGTTTAGATTTCCATCACAGATAATGAACACTGTTGCTAAAAACCAATCAAAACCTTCGAATCTGTTCGGTTTATTATATTGTATAAATATATAAGCAGAATGAATGAATTGCTTCAAATTCTTTTGGTTATCCTCATTGTTCTTCAAGATCTTTCGTTGTTCTGCGTAATTCAAAGCAATGTTAATTGCATGTTTATCTTCCGGGAGCCAATAGTCCGTGTCATATATTATATTTTCCTTCCATTCAAATTGTTCCACCCATTCTGCAGTTGGAATGGCCTTGTGCATTTGATTCAATAGATTCGTCATCATCGAATTCTAAGGTAAAAATTATTCTGTTATTTATTGATTAGTTATGAAATAGCGTGATGAACTTATTATTTTTATGAAATCACCTTGAGTGGACATCGCGAGGCTTTATAAGCCTCCCTAACTTGCGACACCCAACTAATATCTAGCAATCCAGGCCTTTCCTCCTGTAACATATCATTCAACTCTGAATCACATTCGACTTCTGGCAAGTCCATCATATCTTCATATACTCTGGGAGGTGGAAATTCCGAAAAAAATTCATATTCCTCAAATGGCATTGTATGTTGCTTTCTTTTATGTGTCATGTAATATGATTTTAATAAAATATTAAGTCGTAAGAAACTAGATTCATCAATTATGTATTCCTTTATCAGTTCTGGCTTGTCACTACTATCATCATTATTATCGTTGTCCTCTGTCTTTTCATAATAAGTTTCTTCATCAGTTTCATCCTTACGAACCTCAATCATAATTGTGCTATCCTTTTGAATGTTTAATAACGCTTGCTAAAAATTGTATTTATTAATTATGATAGAATTCTTAACTTTTCCACTAAAATAAAATATATACCTGGAAGTTCAACGAATTTAACAGATAAGCACAAACATCTAAATTCCAAATTACTGTATTTAACGACAAAAGAGCTAAATAATGGTAAGTTGAATCCTCGTTTATTGCAGCCTGCAATAGTTCAGACAAATTCAAGGGATAATCCTTTTCCTCATTATTATCTGATTCGTTGTCATTTATCATGAACGCGGCGAAACCTGTTAATAAGTATACATTCTCGATCGATTAATCATAAATTTAGAATGAGTATAATGTAAGATGTAACTGCTCAAGTTCTTTACAATTGAAATTTAGCGAAAATAATGTAAGTATGTGTAGAAATTCGTCAATATTTTCTTTGTCCCAAGGATCGTGAAAGAATTTGGGATCTTCTACATTTGTGCAAATTTGTGACAGCAAAGTCGACAGAACATGGGGTGCGAGATCTGCAAGCACGTCGTAGCCTATGTCGAAGTAACCGGCTGATGAAATGAAGCTAACTATGTCGGTAAAACTCCATATTACTCTTAAAGGAGCGATCGAGCCACGAATCAGTTCCTCGAAAACTAATTTTTCGTTGACGAGCGCTTGCAAGCCAAGCGGTATCGTTACCATTTTTAATAAAACCTTCTTGACAGCACTGTAATAGAATTTTGAAAATTATATATTGCGATCTTAGATTTGTAAAAATGAAATCTGATTTTCTTGTCTAATTACCTATCGAGTTGCTGAATTTTATTCTCATTTTCGACGCCGCACTTGTTCAGCTTTTTATAAAAATTAGCTACGGCTGGATAAAACTGCGTCTCGATCTGTTCCTGCGCAGCCTCATAAACATCATAAATGTCAAATAGTTTTTCTACTAATTTAAACGAACTCAGAATACATTTTGTATCCATTATAGAGAATGGCTGTTTTAATAAATTCGATGCATATTGCACTACGATCGCAACTGGACATTTTGATGATGCATTTTCGGAATTTCTTGAATGTTCTTTACAATTTGTAATTAAAAACTCTGGACCATCCGCCGTATTCACCATATGAGAAATAATATTTAATGTATGTGGCCATATTTTTATATTGTTTTCAGGAATAGATGTTAGACGGCATAACGCAGCGTGATAAAATTCAATATTATATAATACATCTGATATATTCAGCACATTTTGAAGAGCAGCACAGGAAGTATTATATATCCCACTTGGTGCTTCCGCAGCTAATTTATTCAAAGAATTTAACAATTCCATCAGGAAATCAGCTGTGTCAAATGGGATTGTCAACAAGCTCTCCGTGAGCAATTTTCTGCTTACCTCATAGCTACAAAGTTGCGAGACAAAGACCAAACAATGTAAATAAGTTACGGTTTCTATTGTATTGCCGGGAATACATAGCTCATTGTTTTCATCCATAATGGAAACAGACAAGGAATAGGATATTTCTTTCAAACCGCTCTTAATACATTCAACAACATTCTGCAGGAATGTTGGGGACTTTCCCAGGACAGTTACAAAAATCCTTCTGGTAGAAAGACTATGAAGCCACCTTTTACTCCATTTGGCCTGTGGCTCTAATACCGAGATAATGTTCAACATGTTTAAAGTTTTAGATTGTAACGTATTGCCGAAACTATGTGTACTAAGAAATACTATAAATTGTTCAATGATTTCTTCTATAGTTTTGTCGCTGTGCCTAGTGTTCTTCAACATTTCCTCCTGATAACGGATTATCAGATACATTATACAAAATAATTTTTCATGTAGGAAGAATTTGAAATTAATTCCAGAAATCAAAGTGGGCAGGGTCTCGCGTAATTTCTGTGAATGATACTGTGCGTTGAACGCACTCAATAGATTGCCATAAGTTTCGTGCAGTTGTGAACAATTCAGCAACTTTGCATGTACTTGCATGCTAGCCTCAAATATGGCTCTGTTATCATCCGTGAGACCATCCAGCAACGTCTTTTGAAAAACATCCCACTGAGAACTGCTATTTATGTTGGACAATTCGATCTTTAATAAAATTTCATAGCCGGCCAATCTTACGTGGACCGGCTTATCGCGACTGATTTTGTCGATAATACAATCATATTTCTCTCCGTTTCCTTGAGGAGAGGCCCAATCGTCCGCTGTAATATCACTGGCGAAGGAAAGTGACGATTGCGATTGTGATGCTGCTGATGAAGGTTTTACTACTACATATTGCTCAGCGATTACCTTCTTCATAGAATTCAGCAAAACGTTCATATCCTTTGAATGCGTGAGCATATACGCGATCTCATTAGGTTCTTGTTCCTTGTCTATAGCACTTTGTATAGTTTTCCCGAATTCCTTTTTCAAGCATTTTCTTAGCCATTTGTGAAGATCTGGCGGAATACCTTTGTCCATTATTTCTAAATCTAAATTAATATTATGTAAAACTGAGCAAGTATAACGAAACACGTGCTAAGTGTCCATAGTTTTGACATTTGTTGTCATAGCAACCGGAGACATATTCTAGCACGAAAACATATATTATGGAATGCTCTATAAATATGCTCTATAAATAATCAAGCCATGTAATACAATGAAATCTTTTATAACAAAATTATACAAGATCATTATACAAGTTTTACAGGTCGTAATATCAGTTGTACTGTACCGATAAACGAATCTGAGTATATAAAGTAATTTAATTATATGTAATTAGCGTGCAGGTACTATGATGTTCGGAGATTTGGATCGTAATGCATTAATGCCGCCTTGCAGACAACAGACTCCTACGACACCGCATTTTATCAGAAAATCTGCAAACTGTTAGAAAATTATATTAGAGCAAATTTTTTTCATAATTAATTTTTATATCATACTATATCTACCAATGCATTATTTTGATCGTGCGGTCCAATAATCACAACGACGCTGTTTTTATTATCTATTAATGGTTTCGCGTGTGGCCCGAGTGTGTCGATGTGAGTTTGAGACAATTGTACACTTGTGAATGGAATGTTGATACTGCCAGGTATAGCACCTCTTTCGAACCTATTAAAAATATATATTTATTTATGAAATAAATCAACAGACGTTTTTTTTTATTATAATTTGAATTAATCACGAATACCTACTGTATGTTACTACGTACGTCAACCACTATGATTTTGCTCGACGAATTATTGTAAAGATTTAAAAAATCATCTACACTTATCCTTGGCATCTTTTCGGTTCCCTCTTCTGGTTCGATCCAGTTTGCATCCTACAAAGCAAAATCTTACAATATGCCAGTAATTACATACATCAATTGATATCGCACCTTCGCTGCATTATATTGGTATTTTCTGTATGTAATACTAGCAGGTGTGTTTTGATACATTGTCATGGAATCTTTAACGCATAATTCTATATCAATCTCAGGCAGATCAGAGAACAGAAGAATGCATTCATTGAAACCTGACGTTAACAGGGAATCTCGTAGCTGCTTCAGTATTGCTAACCCGACCAAGAGAGGAAACGACGAGTCTCCTAGCAATAGTTTATCCCATAGATGCAATATCTTATGTAGCGGAAATACATCTAAAATATTAACAATTTTTTATGTTATGTATTAACGATTAATAATACAGCATATCAAAGATATCCCGATAACTTACGCGAAAACATTGTTAGAAACCATGGTATGGCAAAGAGTTCCGGTACAAAGTTTATGGATTTTAAATGATTCGCCAATTGAGGATCATGAAACGCAATAATTTGAGAAAACTTGCCCAGATATTCCTGTATCACCGCCGAGTTATCTTTTAAAAAGAATTTGTGGAGATATTTCGGTATGAAGGTCGACAGACATGCGAATGCTCGAGCTGAAATCAATGCGCGATAAATTATGGAATATTTTAAAAAATGTGCGTGTCAGATGATTGTACCTTCGTTGTTAAAATTTAAATAAAGAAACGGTGCCGTCAGCGAATCGAGCCCTTGCCAATAAACATAATGTGGATTATTCCTGACCCATGCTTTTAACAATCTTTGCAATCGTTCATGTCCAGCACCAGACGACAGCAACTCACTATATTGATGGCATCTCGGTATATCCACCTCTATCTGACAAATTATTAGAGAAATACATATATATGTCGAGCACAACCATTCGTATAATAATTATACCTGACGATCAGTATGAGTAGGCGTTTCCTTATCAATCATGTCATAACGCTTTTGTATATCGCCAGTGATACCGAGCAAAGCCGCCCATACAGCACCTCTGACCGGAGGTGGTATATCCTTGTGCGCCTCCTCAATAATTGCCTCCTGAGTTAGCGGATATACCTGCAGAAGTCTATCGAACAGAACAAGCCTATAAAATTGATACTCTGTATCACGTTCCCTTATGATTAATGGCAATTGAGATGCGGCATTCGTCAGATCTTCGTGTGCTTGAACCCGCATTCTGTAATGTAAATGCTTTTAACAATTTCGTAATACCAAAGTGCAGAATGAGATAGAAATTAATGAACTGACTGATTTGTTAACCAAGGATAGTTTGCTATATATGGGATGTGAGCTAAACGTTGGCGAAGAGTTTCCATAGGAACTTTTACGACCCTTACATCAAGTAGACTAGCGGTATCCCTCTGGCCAAACATTTGACCCAATAGTATAACTAAGCTGAAGCAAAAAATTTCAAATGTTCAATATAATCTCTTTGAAATGATCTATTCATAATTGTTATACATGTATAAATATATTTGAAAATTACTTTGGAATAGATAAGATGGGTGGTCTTGATCTAATGAGACTCTGTTTCTTTAGCTCCACAGTAATATCACCACCGGCTAATTGCCATAAATAATATAATTCATCCATTTTTCTAACAATAACATTTTTATAGAGATTTTCTTCCTTCTCCTGCGCATTTCTCATTAAATACTCTGCAAATATCGGCAATTCCAGCAATTCTTCTGGAGTCTTACGCTTGGTAGGATGAATTTGTAGACATGAATCTACGAATTCTTTTAGCATTCTTGGTAACTCCTACATGACACAAAGATGTGATATTATAATGTAAACAGATAAAAAATGTAAACATTAATACAGATAATACATGATTGATAAAGTCATACTTCATAAATATGAAAACAATTGTTTTCCCTGGCAAGACGTTCGAATATGCTGGTATCACACAATATTAAGCTCAGAACTTTCCTCAAACATTGAGATAATTTTACACCAGGCCAGATGGGCTGTCCTAATAATTGTTCCGCTATGATCATTCCCAGAGACCAGGAATCTATTTTGACACCACTCGGACTAGGATTCAAAAATACCTCTGGTGCTGTATATTTCGGAGAACTGAAAAGATATTTTCTTGGAATTTTATGTCAAATAAATCCATTAATAACTACATTGTTAAAAAGAATACTTAAACACACCCGATTGGGAAAGAGACATTCTTTCCTCCATCCGTCATATAATATAATCCATAATTATATAATTGAACGTCGCCGTTCTTCTTGATTAGTATATTATCTGGACTCAAGTGTCTATGTACCAGATCCAATTCATTCATATGCCGCAGTGCCAAGAGACATTGAAAGGATATCTTGATGATTTCTTCAGTATTCAGATCATGCTTGATACTCAATGGATCACCACTGTATTCCATAACGACCACTATCCTCTCTGCAAATGCACATAAAATAATTATACTATAGAGAGAAAGAGGCAATCTTGTATTCGCTTTGTAGACTTACCATGCTTGCTTCTAATTATGTCGAGATAGGGAGAAAGATGAGGATGATAAATGGTCTTCAAAAACTGCGCCTTTCCGTAGATGGTTATAGAATTCGGCGTGAGTGGCAGACCATTGCTGCCACATACCTCCACCGGGTGGCTTTGCGCGAAGAAAGTCATGCCTCCCAGGCATCGTTCTTCGTTCTCCAAGAGCGCAGGACACATCGCGTTCGTATACGTGGGATTCCATAAAGTCTCTCTCCGATCATACGAGCTGATCGCACCACTTTGACTCGGATTTCCTGCCACTCATCATTATCGTCGTTCTCCGCATTTCTTACATGCTCGGAGATCCGCCTACCTTGCACATCGTTTACAGTTGTCATTCAACAAAACATATGCACCCAGAAGCAAAATAAGCTCCTTTTTCAAGGTAGACAGATGAACGCGCCATCTGTTTTTTCAATACAACACATTTTTTACAATACACTCTGATACAATTAATATTTATTATATACAATACAATAATTATATTATTTATATTTCGATAATACAATTATATTTAATAAATATATATCGTACCACAGCATGATAAGAACAAAGAGTTATGAATTCTAGCATGATGATACAATGGCAGAAATGTATCGTATGATGGTAAGAATCAATTTCTAAGGAGCGACCGAATAAATAGACGAATAATTATCTGAAGAACCTGGCACAGTGCAAGCGAGAAACGTCAGTCAAGGATTTACGTCAAACACATCAAGGTTTAGGGGAAGTGTCAGAACGAATATTGGATTCTTTTCCTGCCGATCGCTCTCAATCGTCTCATTTATGAATTCGGATTGAAAGTAATTATTTTATATAATAAATACATACATATTCTCGTTGCGATATTTTGTAACTCATATACACTTTTCTAGGCACGGTCGTAGTTTCTGTTCCATTTCCAAACGACTCTCACAACTTATGAATATTAATCGTTATTTTCCAATTTTACCATTATTTCAATTTTTAAATCTGTTATATATCTTAAACACGCAATTATTGATATGAGTAAAATGATTAATTGACAAGTTTTGTTGATACATGCAAAAATAATGTAAGTTTAAATACTGTGCATGTAGCTTTCTTGTGAAGAACAATAAATTTATACAGTAAGGAGCAAATAAATGTGTGATACAGTAATTTAAAAACCAGAGTTATCTACTAGAGTTTTGCCAATAGATTAATACTTATCTATATTTTTTTCTTGCAGAATTTTGTCAGATTATTTTGCTGGGACATTTATAATGTCTTCGGTCCAGCGTGCATTTGCTCACAAATTAAGCAAACAGCATGCTGCCGATGTGAGGCGGCAAATTGCTACTTCTACGTCCTATTCTCGTGATTTATCAAAGAGTGGTAGCAGTGTGTCAGGATTTTCCTCCACAGTATGTAATTTCCTTTGGAAAATTGAAATTTAAAAATATCATAGTTGACTAGAGTAAATTAATGTTTACATTCTTATGTAGATGTCCTTATGTGAAGTATTAGAACCACTTGATTATGAAGAATTCTTAGGACAACATCAGACAGTATTGGATCGTGATCCTTTAAAACCAATACTAGATTTTCCACCAGGGGATGTCGAATTGAGAGTCGTAAAGAGAAAGATTCGAACAGAAGAGCCAGTAGTACCACATGAATCAATGTATGAAAAATCACTAAATCATTATTGATTATAATATAATTATTTCTTTTTGACACTTATAATCTATGTTTTAATTATTTGGTTTTCAGAGATACCGTATCACCTTATGTAAAAAGATGTATCGAAAGTTTTACTTCAGACTGGATCATAATACATCGTAAATATAAAGGAAGAATCTCACCTATCGCCAGGGATAGATTACTCCAGGATACACCTAGACAAGATTTCGAGGTAGGTGATAAAATTAATTTGTTTGTGATAAACAGAAATGAAAGCAATTTTTCTTAATTAGGTAGATCAAGAAGATGCAAACGGTTGTGTATCACCGAATGAGGAGGATGATTTGTCCAACTCTGGAGATACACCGAGAGGATCTTGGGCAAGTTTGGACTTGCGACATTCGCAACATGATCCTCTTTTGCCGAGTTTATTAGATCGCGTCTGTCTTGAAACGATTGATCAGATGAATGAACAGAAAAGATTGGAAGATCGACAGGTATAGAATTGTAAGCTAGTAAATTTATAAGTATTTTGATTAAATATTTATTTTTCAGGAAGCTTTATTTCCACTTTACGCTCCCCCAACTTCTCCTGATGATGAATGGCAAGAAATCAGTGTGGCTCTGGAACCTACGGAGCCTTTTGCTCATAAAATTCTTGTGAAATGTCTGCAATTAAAATTAGAACTAGAAGTGGAGCCGATATTTGCGAGTCTTGCATTATATGACGCCAAAGAAAGAAAAAAGTATATCTTTTTTTATAATCAAAATTATATCTTTGAGAATATAATTTAAAAATATATATTAATTACAAATTGTTATTATCAGGTGTCGGAAAATTTCTACGTAGATATGAATTCAGAAGGATTGAAAAGAATGCTTGGAGGACACATTGCTTATAGCGATGCAAGTACTTTGGCCAGAAGCTGCGTTCTGAGTATCAGCAAACCTAGTCCCGATTTGTTTCTTGTCGTGCGGTTAGAGAAAGTGTTGCAAGGTGATATTTCAGAATGTGCTGAACCATATTTACGTGAAGATAAAAATAAAGATAAGGTAATAAAATAGCAGGAAATATAGATATATATTTAAAATGACAATTTCTTATATTATTTTATATATTTCCATAGGTCAGAGCTGCTGCCGCTGCTGCCTGTGAACGCTTGGGTCGTTATAGAATGCCTCTCGCGTGGACTGCAATTCATTTGTCTGGTGTAATTGGAGGCGGCGGTGACACAGATAGTACTGGCAGTGCTGGATCTTTAGACAGAAAGTCAGGCGGTCTAGAACAATGGCGAAAGAAAGTGGAACCGCCAACGCGACGAGGTTCGCTAGAAAGACGGAGTTCGGACAAAAGACGTAGTTGGTCCCCCGACGATTTTGCCAATTGTCTCGATAGCTTTAGGTTTATATTCTGCTGCATATTCTTACTTCCTGCAATTTAATAAATAAAATTGATTTTAATATGTTGATATTCTCTTGCAGACCCATTACTTTAACAGTTTCGAGCTTCTTTAAGCAGGAAAGCGAACGACTCCGTGATGAAGATCTCTATAAGCTTCTGGTCGAACTACGAAGACCTGGTTCTAACTTGAAACGATTAAAATGTTTACCAGGAATATTGAAACTGGATCTCAGTCCCAGACCCGAAGAGCTGCCGAGATGTCTCGATCCTGATCTTAGAAGATTAGTACCATATCCAGATGAAAAGAGTCGACCCGTTAAGGAAATACTCGAATTTCCAAGTGAAGTTGTTTCACCAGATTTAACATATCGTAATCTTCTTTATCTCTATCCTAAGGTGCATACTAAATAAAATTATATGATCAATTATTTCCTTAATTGTGCGATATTAAAATTACTTTTTATTCGTAGGAAGCAAACTTCAGTTCCAGAACTGGTTCAGCCCGCAATATCGCTGTAAGAATTCAACTTATGGGAGGTGAACAAGAAGCTGACGCTCTCACAGCTATCTTTGGCAGATCATCGTGCCCCGAAATGACACATGAATATTTTACTTCCGTGTCATATCACAATAAGAATCCAAATTTCTATGATGAAATCAAGATGAGACTCCCTGCGGATTTAAGTGCTAAACATCATTTATTGTTCACCTTTTATCATATTAGTTGTCAGAAAAAAGCGGAACAACCAAATGTTGAAACAGCTGTTGCTTATACAGTAAGTTTTAATCAGTAATTAATAAAACTTGATATTAGCAATTTGATTGATGTGCTGAATATATAAAATTTTATTTACAGTGGCTACCGCTTTTAAGAGATGGTCATCTTCAATCAGGCGAATTTAGTTTGCCTGCTATGTTGGATCCACCACCTGCAAATTATTCTTACATTGCGCCCGATGTTCTCTTGCCAGGTACTCGATGGGTAGATGCTCATCGAGGTGTTTTTACTGTCATATTGGAGCCCGTTTCAAGTGTTCATCCACAAGACAAATATATCGACAGGTAATATATTATTTTTTTCTAGTGTAAAACAAATAAGAAAAGTATTTGATAATCTTTTATGTAATTTTCGCATTATAGATTTCTATCGTTATGTGGCTTTTTGGAAACTGGTCAAGTTCCGCCTCGTATCGGTGAAGCTGGCATGGAATCAGAATTGAAATCAGCCCTCCTCGAATTAGCACGTGCCTCGCATTCCGCCTTAGTGCGATCGCTTCCCCAATTGCTCGATCAATTATTGTGTCTTCTAGTGCGACCGCCAACATTACCATCTCAATCGTTGAACGTCGCCGCCACTATTTTCGAGGCAATAGGACTACTCGTACGAAATATTACTAATTTACCAGATGGTCAATTAGATGCGCACGGAAGACACGCGCTTTTGGCTACCTACATCGCGTATCAATGCTCTTTGCCGAGTATGACTCACAGCGGGGGCGTCGCGCGAGCTCAAAGCAATCCTGATCTACCTTTAGAAGATTTAGAGATGGAAATACACTCACGAGGATTGGATAGAACCGCATCTATGCGGCAGGAATCTCCCTCGATCAACAGTCATTCTACCAGAAGACTTTTACACGAAGAACTCGCTTTGCACTGGGTCGTATCTACTGGTCAAGCACGGGAATTGGCAATAACCCATTCCTGGTTCTTTTTGGAGTTGATAATGCGCTCGATGGTCGTTACTCTATCTGAAATGGGATCCTTGGAGGCACCGCGAAAGTTGAGATTTTCGCCGCAATTCTGTGACGATGTCGCAACACTCACCGCTGCGTTAACATCCGAAGTGATATCACGCTGCAGCAAAGAAATTCGCGTAGCATCCAACTTGATATCGAGCCTTGGAAACTTTCTGTCTGACCTATTGTCCGTGATGGATAGAGGATTCGTATTGTCGCTCGTTCGCGCTGCCTGCTGCTCACTGTCGGATGCGTCGATGCATATTCCTGACTCGGCGGCGTTATTTGCCCTAAAACTCGATCTTGTAAGAACTGTGTGTTCACACGAGCATTACGTAGCATTAAATCTTCCGTTTGGCACTGGCTATACCTCGGGATCTGCCCCGGCATCACCAAGTCCATCGACTGGCAGCTCAGGAAGTCTGATATCCACTCTTGTGCCCGGAGATAGAACCCGGTTTTCGGAGCTCAGTCAAGAATTCAGGCAGCAACATTTCCTGGTTGGTATTGTGCTATCTGATTTAGCGAACACCTTGGAGATACCGAATCCGATGTTACAAAATAAAGCTATCGGGACTGTTCGACATCTTATGAGTTGCCACGATGCTGATACTCGGTATACCGATCCTGCGGCAAAAGCTAGAGTCGCTGCATTATACCTACCATTGCTTAGTATTTTGATGGATGCCTTACCTCAGCTTTATCACTGGGATTCCAAAGATAAAAGTGTTTATCCTGATGAATCCGGGTCGATCACGCAATCAGTAGCATTGGCTATTGCCGGGGGAGCATCGGCAGATACTGCAGGTAATCAATGCCGCGTATCCTTGAGCTCCGAAGCTACTCGACATCTGTTAATGTGTGCCTTATGGGTGCTCAAGGGTTTGGAGCGAACCGCTCTAGCGCAGTGGTGCTCCGAGCTTAGTGCAAGACGCATTTTGAGCTTATTACAAGTATTGAATATCGCTACTGCGGCTTTCGAGTACAAAGGCAAGAAAGCGTTGAAAAGATTGCCGCCTCAAGCCACAGTTACCAGCGATATCAGATCGCGACTGGAAGATGTGATTCTCGGTCAAGGAAGTGCCAGGAGTGAGATGATGTTGCGGCGAAAAGAGAGAGTGACTGGTGATAAATTGAGATGGCGCAAAGATCAAATGCCTTACAGGTAAAATATTATATTATTTTAATTATAATTAAAGTTATAATTATTTAATGTGTTGAAATGTGTTGAATCTTCAAGATCTTGCGAGCAACCGGAAGGAAGAGCTGTGGAACAAGATGCTCATATAGAAGGAGCCTTAGCGGCAGAAGCTTCTCTTGTCGTTTTAGATACGTTAGAGTCCGTAGTTCAAGCTGACGGCGGTGGAGGCATTTATTATTTTTTTATTCTACATTTAAATATGATAATTTAGATAATATACACGATAATAGATAATTACTTATCTGAAATTGTTTAGGTGCGGTTGTTGGCGCCGTATTGAAAGTGTTACTAAGAGCATTGGCCAGAAATCAAAGTACATCGGTACTTCAGCACATGTTCAATACACAGCGGGCACTAGTTTTCAAGTATCATAGTGCATTGTTTGATGAAGAAAGCGAGCGTTGCGGGGATTTATGTTTGACATTATTAACTCGATGCAGTTCACCTTTAAGCGCTATTAGAAGTCATGCAGCTGCTAGTCTGTATTTGCTAATGCGACAGAACTTCGAAATTGGAAATGTAAGTTTAAAATCTCATGATGTTAATAATATCCAAGCGCCAATTTTAATTCTTACAGAAAGTAAGAATTTTAATTCTTTACAGAATTTTGCACGCGTCAAAATGCAAGTCACAACGTCCTTATCTGCTCTTGTTGGGAGAGGAAGAGCTCCTAGTGAGGGAGCATTACGTAGAGCCTTGAAAACAGTGCTGGTATATGCTGAGAGAGACACAGAGCTCGCAGATACGAGTTTTCCCGAACAAGTGAAGGATTTATTATTCAATCTTCATATGATTCTTTCTGATACTGTTAAGATGAAGGAATTCCAAGAAGATCCTGAAATGCTTTTGGATCTAATGTATAGGTAAGGTTTGAATCTTAATAAATAACAATAATAATTTGACTTGTATTTTAAAATATTATAAGTTAAGAGATGTATTTTGTGAATCTCTAACTTTTGTTTAGAATCGCCAAGGGCTACCAAGGATCACCCGATCTTCGTCTCACTTGGCTCGCAAACATGGCACAGCAGCACATGGAAAGAAAAAATCATACAGAAGCAGCAATGTGTTTGGTACATAGCGCCGCTCTAGTAGCAGAATATCTTCATCTATTAGAACCCGGCGGTGGAGGTCGGCCTGTAGGAGCCGTCGCTTTGAATGCCGTGACACCAAATGCTTTGGAAGAAAGTGCTGTCGGCGATGATGTATTGGCAAGAAGAGAAGAAGGACTTTGCTTAGGTCCTGATTTTTCAGAAAGCGGATTGGCGGGTTTATTAGAGCATGCGGCTAGTTCTTTTCACGCAGCTGGAATGTATGAAGCTATTCCTGACGTCTATAGAGTGTTACTGCCTATAGCAGAAGCTGCACATGATTATAAGAAATTAGCTAACATTCACGGGTAAGATTTAAATTATTTTATGTAAAAATATATCTTCTTATTTAAAATTTACATTACATACATTAATATAAAATCTTTTTTGAAATGTTTTTAGTAAACTTCATGAAGCATATACACGTGTAGAACAGTTGGCGGGTAAACGCGTCTTCGGAACATACTTCAGAGTTGGTTTCTACGGCGCCAGATTTGGTGATCTTGCCGGCGAAGAATTCGTTTACAAAGAACCGACTTTGACAAAACTCCCAGAAATATTTTCGAGACTCGAGAACTTTTATGCCGAGAGATTCGGCGCAGATAATATAGTTATAATAAAGGATTCGAATCCTGTAGATCCTAGCAAGCTGGAACCGGACAAGGCCTATGTGCAGATCACTTATGTCGAACCGTATTTTGAAGCGCACGAACTTAGACACAGACCCACAGTTTTCCATCGGAATTTTAATATAAGTAGGTATTAATTGATAAAATATTACATTTTATTGTCACGTAATTTTTTAATTACTCTTTTGATGACGACTTCTACTTTTAGAACGATTTGTTTATGCGACACCTTTCACTCCTGGTGGTAAGGCTCATGGTGAACTGCGCGAACAATGCAAACGAAAGACGATATTGACGGTGGCGACGCATTTCCCATATTTAAAAACTAGAATTCGAGTTGTAGCTCGAAAACAGATTGTTTTGAGCCCCATCGAAGTGGCAATCGAAGACATACAGAAGAAGACTGCCGAGGTATTAATCGACATCTTACACTTTTCTTTTCTAACTTTATAATATATATATAATATAATATATTTTCATCTGTACTTTAGGTTGCCGCTGCAACCGCTCAGGAACCACCGGACGCTAAGATGTTACAGATGGTCCTTCAAGGTTGCATCGGCACAACTGTTAATCAAGGACCCGCTGAAGTAGCAGTCGTGTTCCTTTCCGGCTTACGTGAACAAAATGCACAACCCACCAGATTGCAACATAAACTTCGTTTATGTTTCAAAGATTTTCAGAAAAAGTGTCTCGATGCTTTGCGGCGTAATAAGAATCTCATTGGTCCTGATCAGCGAGATTATCAACGGGAACTGGAGAGAAATTATCAAAGATTGACCGAGAGATTGGCACCTCTCATTGCTTGGAGGTAAGAAGTTTTGATTAGAGATATGTATTTTTTTTTAAGTTTCTATATTAAAAAAGTTTTGTTACGCTGCCATGTAGCGGACCGTCCTTAATTAATCAGCAAGCTGTACCAACAACTCCTCCGCGTTGGAGGGGAAATGAAACACTGCCATAGAAGCTTACCAAAGATTACTGTATTCAATTATTAAACATATAATTTATCATTTAGCAAATTTCACTTACAATTATTATATTGCGGAAAACATTCATGTGTTGAATCCTTGCTTTATAACAGAATGGAAAAATTATTTAAAATGATTTAAAATAAATACAAACTTAATGTAATAAATACAAAATTATATAAGTTATATTATGAATTTTACATTATATAATGAATTATTAAACAATTTAGTATTTTTTCTTGTAAGAAAGGAATAAGGATGGTGTTAAAATGGTCAAATTTTTAAATTTATTAATATTAAAAATATTTATAATATCAAATATTTATAAACAAGGATTCGGCTTCATATTTATATCATTTTTATATTTATGAATACTTAAATTACATTGCGACCAAATGCGCATTCAATGAATTTAAATATAGTTCGACTATGTTTAAATTTGTATCCTTTATAGCTGAAATGTATTTGTATATATCAATCAGTATATCTTGTCCTAAGTAATCTCCAAATTTTTCATGGTTTATGTTTTTATTTGTTAAATGCATCAAAACACAATGCGATTTTAACTTTACAGTATTAAGTACATCTACAAGTCTAAGATCTTTAATAATTAATGTTAATTAATATTGTTATATTTTTAATGTTTCTATGCTATTAATTAATTAAGAGATCAATTTGCCGCTTTATATCTTAAACGATATAATTTTATTCTTTTTTGTTATCAATGTAATACATTTGTTCAATTTACAATTAGTAGTATATCTATTCATAAATATAAATCTTGACATTATGTGATTATTTTTATATTTTATGAGCCGAGTTATTGATACTTCTATGAAAATGAAAATAGCTTCCTAAAAGATTAGATTAAAATTATCTTGACTAGAAACATTTCTTTAGAATCTCCTAAAAAAGTGTCTGTTTAAATCGAAAAATGCCATGTAGAAATAGCGTGTAAAGCACTCGGTTCGTAAAATGTATATTTATAAGAAATAACTCGTATATTTTATATTTTATATATATATATATATATATGTATACATTAACATAAGGCAAATGACATTTTTTTCTACGATTTAAATTTGTACGATAGAAATCATTATACATTTACAGCACTCTAAGCCTTGAGTAAAATGCACTTTTGTATTTCTTGAAAAATATTAGAAATATAGGCGAATTTTGTACACGATCAGTTTGTGTTTCAAAGTGGACGAGGAAAGGAGGAAGCAGGCGAATATCTGTCTTCATTCAATCAATGAACCCTTGAACAATTCGTTTACGATCTGACCTATCTCCCTCCGCCTATTCACACATGATCTCTTTACTATTTTTTCTCGTTTCCGAATAAGAACTCGTTTTATTGCCACCTGCTACCATGATTCGATTTTTCCGATTATCGGGAATTGCTCTTGCTTCTAGTTCGACTTCTCCATTCAAAAAGAAAAGAGAAAGATTTATATAAACTGAAAATGTATACTTTTTTGTTTTCTTTTTCAAGATAACCATTTGAAATTAATTCTATTGTTGTGAATACGTATAAAAATTGTTTTACGTTTATCTTTCTGACATTGGAATTCAGAAAACCTTTTTTTTTATTTTTCGGTCTTCGAAATTCAATGTAATACTCAAGAACTGATATTACTAGCCTCGAAAAAACGGTGTCGTTTAGCACGTTCAGATTCGCGCAAATGCGTTAAACGGAAACAATAACGACACAGAGACATAAATGTGGACACGCGAATACCCCGACTCGACCAGAGAGGAAAAGAGAAAAGGAGACCGAATAAAACATCTTAAAATGTCGTAACGGAGGCGAGAGAGGCTTCCATATTGGAGGTCTCAGATAAAAGGTTTACCTTTGAACTCGGGATGAGACTTCTCGAAGGATTTTCTCGAGGAAAACTTTGATCGCGTTAAGAGATTTCCTTCGGGGTACCAGCGAGACCGCGTCGCGGAAAATTCCTCGGAAGTATTCTCTCGCGATGCGGAGTCGGCCGAAGGAGAGGAGGA